GGGAGGGACAGGGAGAGAGGCTCCGCTCTGCTCGGGCTCTCGGCGGACTCGGACGCACCTCGCACGCAGGACCCCGGTGGCCACCCGTCCCGAAAGTTGACGAGCGGCGGGGCCGCGGAATGGAGGAGGGGGGGAAGGGAGGGAGGGAGGGAGGGAGGGAGTGCGAGGCGGGGATTTATCCATATCCACCGCCTGGGGGCCGACGTCCTGGTGCCCCAGCGGGCGGTGGATGTGGATATATATATATATATATATATATATATATGTATATATATATATATATATTTCGGCCCCCCGGGGGCCCGAATATGTCCATATCCACCGCCTGCCGAGGCTCCGAAAACTGACCCTCCAGGCGGTGGATATGGAGAAATTCCCGCCTCGGAGGGAGGGAGGGAGTGGTGATGGGGCGGAGGCGAAGGAGAGGGAGGAGAAAGAAGACGACGACCTGGTCAGCGTGGGCGGACGGTGGCGGATGGGGATGGGGATGAGGACGACAAAAGGGGGGATGAGGACCAGAGTAGACCCGTCAGCGATGCTGCAATACACCCGCACGTCCCAAGTCCCTTCCTCAGAAGTCCCTACAGGCCTCCCTACTCAATACAGGGAGCGCCCCCGTTGAAAAACATGCATCCGATTGGCCTACCACGTTGGCGCGAGGCCCGCTTCGAAAGTAAATGCATTGCAGCCTTCTGGCGAGCACGAAGGAGTGCGAAAAGGTGTGAGCATGCAAAGCAGCGAGGCTCCCAGCGAGGTCACCAATTTGAAAAAGGATCGCCCCCATCGGTGCAGCGATTGCACTGGTTTGCACGTGTGTTCGTGGATTTCGAGAAAATCTCAAGGGAATACTCCATTCTCAGAACAAGGAGTTTAGCTACATCCGTGCCGCCCTACACACATGTTCAAGCTTCTCGTCTTTAGAGAATTGGCTATCAGGCGAGGTCCCCCTTTTGAACATGGAGTGTCCTCCATTCTTGTAGCTGTTGCAAACTGGTACGTGATTGTGTGCGGAATTGAGGCGACGGTCCAATATTGGAAATGAGCCGCCCTCAATCCCTGTAGCTCCGGCAAGACTGTAAAACGAGTGTGCGCAGCGCTGAGCCGAGAGCCTCATTTCGACAGCGACCCACCTCCATACTTCTAACTGATACAAGCTTGTAAGATGAATGTGAGCAGCGCTCAGGCGAGAGCTCAATGTTGACCACCCCCCAGCAATCCTGGCTCTAAGCTTTGAAAACGAATGTGCACGACGCTACGGCGAGAGCCCATTTTGAAATCGACCCCCTCGCATCTTTGAAAACGACTGTGCGCGGCTGTAAAGCGGGAGCCCCATTTTGATGACTACACTCTCAACGCGTGTAGCTGCTGCAAGTTTCAAGCCTGAAGATCACAAACGATGAAGAAATCTCAGGCGAAACGCCCGGTTGGCCCGACCGGCGCGTCTGCGGGTGCGACGGGAAGGAGGTGATTATGCATAAGGAGCGGGAAGGGAGCAGGAGGAATCTGTTTTGAGGAGGAGGAGGAGGAGGAGGAGGAGGAGGAGGCGCCACAGCCAGACTGGCGATCCACTGGTCACTCTGCTCAGCGCAGGAGACAGGACGGGAAAGACAAGGACCGATACGAAGTAATCCATAAAGCGTCGCAGTACCCAGTGGGGAACTGGAAGGAAGAGGAAGAAGAGGAGGAGGAGGAGGAAGAGGAGGAGGAGGAGGAGGAACAGGAGCAAGAGAGAGGAGAGAAGGCAGAAAAGGGATACTACCCGCGAGCTGTGGTCAAGAACTCTATGATCCAGACCGCCGTGAACCGCTAAAGTGCAACATGCCGAGGCAACGCTATACACACGAGGAAGACGAGGAGGAGGAGATACGAGAGTGAGACGACAAGAGAAGAAGGGGAAGCAGGGAAAGGATACTATTGGGCAGGGGGAGGAAGAGGAGGAGACACATGAAGAGGAAGTGAAGAGGCGGAGGGGAAAGGATAACGATGACGATGGCGATGCTGATGATGTTGATGATGAAAGGCAGTGATGATGAAGATGATGATGATGTTGCTGATGATGATGATGATGATGGTGATGAAGACCCTGATGATGATGTGGGATCTCTCGAAGCCATCTTTTTCCATAGTTGTGCAGTTTGGCGGAGGACAACCTCGAGAGTGCACAGCCAGCAAAGGAAACACTGACTCGGCAACGGTTAAAATTATTGGTCAAATTGGGCGGGGGGGGGCCAGGGAAGAACTTTAGCACGGGGATACGGCCACACATGCACCACAAATGCCGACAAGTCGCGGTATGTGGGATATCTCGAGGCCATTGTTTGTCCATCTTTGTGCGGAGCGGCGGAGGGCAACCTCGAGAGTGCACAGCCAGCAAAATAAACACAAACTCGGTGCCACACGCTCGTCTCCACACATGGCTACCGCCGAACACCTTCATCGACGAAAAACCTTGTTATATCGGGCGGCACGGGACGGCTGCCGCGCGGCAGCAACTATCATGTCCGCGCCTGCGGTGGCTACTTCAAAGGGTAGACCGCGGGACGAGGCTCGAGCAACGGCATCCAGCGCAGGACGACCGAGGCCTCCCAAGTGACGGCGGCCAGTGCGGTCACACAGGCCTTGGGAGCAGAGGCAACGACGCGAGAGGCAGTCGAGGTCCCGAACGCCCCAACCGACCAAGAACATTATGTCTAACGCGGCCTGAAAACATGCAGGAGTCGAGGGAGCAGGAGGAGGAGGAAAGGAGAGGGGAAAGGAGGGGATGTCTCCAGATCAGGCTAGCTTCAGGGTGCACAAAAATCACGGGGACCCTGCGACAAATGCATTCCGAGATCCGCCGAAAAGGTGGCGGCGGTCAGCGCGTTAGCAACTCGGATGGCACGTCTATCAGGCTCAGAGATTCTCGTTCCCTCCAGAGGGGCGTCCAGTCGGCGCAGGCGGGCCGCTCCTGATCTCCAGGTCGCAGCCGACACGGAGGCCCATAGGCCGAGGACCGCCGACGAGCGCACCCAGCCGAGCAACGCGTCCAATAGACGTGGGTCGCCAGCGTCCTCCAAGCGATGGCGAGCAAGGTTGATTGCAACAGTTCCAAGCCCACGATGTTCGCAAGCTCGACGAATTCGATTCGGCGTGCAGATGCACAAAGTCACATGAAAAGGCATGACAGACGCGTGTGACCGGGCCCGCCGCCAAAGCCTTCTCAAACGAAGCCCCCGTGGTCGGTCAGCACGGGCGCCGCCCTCACGACTGGAGGCGCGGACGCAGGGAGAGGCGGCGGCAGCTGCGGCGAGAAGATGCCCGCCCGCGCCTTCTCGCCCATCAGCTGCAAGAAGTTCGCCTGGACCCTGCCCCCCAACTCCACTAGAGCTGGCGCGAGCTGCCCCAGTCGCTGCTGCATCCGAGCTCGCTTGGCGTATCGGTTCAACGACTGATCCGTCCTCCAATGGCCACGGTCCTTGACCTCCTTGCGAGTCCGACGCCCCGACAGGAGGTCGTCTGACGTTCCTCCGCGGCGCAGGGAGCACAGCGACGTCTGCTCGCCGTCGAGCTGGGGCATCGCCAGGGCAGCCTTGAAGGCCCGGCGGACCTGCTCGGGCGATCCACAGGCTCGCCTCGGGTCGTCGACCCTGACGAAGGGAGTCAAGCAGCGGCCACAGCAAGGGGTCGTCGATGATCGCGCTCTCGTCCGTGACCCCGTCTTGCCAGGCCCCCCGCTCGCGGCGTCGTTCACCAGGGTGGCCCAGTGCTGGTAGCCCTCCTTCGACCCGAACCGCGGAGCGCTCAGCGAGGCGGCGGTGAGGCGGCAGGCCTCGCTCGGGCGGAGGTAGGCGTCGAAGGCGAGCCTCGCGAAAGTCGCCTCCGCGAGGCGGCCCTGGGCCAGAGGGCGCCCGGCATCGCAAACATGGCCACGCGCGGGAGCGGCAGGCGCATCTGAGGCGGGGCGAGCTTCGCCCAGCCCTGAAACGCCCGAGAGGCCCGCGGCAGCGGCCTGCTCCCGACCAGCAGGGCGGGCACGTGGTGCTTCAGCGCGGCCAGCGCGGCGCAGCCCGTCGCGCAGTCGTAGCCGCCCAAGAACAGGTGGGCGAAGTGCACGACCAGGACGGCGTCGAGCTGGGCGCTGCCCCAAAAGTCCCTCGCGGTCCAAAGGCGCCAGCTCAGAAACTTCTGGGCGCGGGCGCGGCAGTTCCTGCCCGCGGAGGCCGAGGCCGCCGACGCCCCCAGCACCGACAGGCCCCCTCGCGAGAGGCTGGAGGGCCCGGGGTGGACCGCCCGAGCCCTCGCGGCCTTGACCACCCCCCTTGGGCTGCCGCGGTCGCCGCGACACCTACTCCGAGAGGTAGTCCTCGTAGCTCGGGCCGACGAAGAAGCCTTCTCTCGACGGCTTGTCGGCGACATTCCGTTCATGGGGGCCCAGCGCACCAGCGCGCGCAAGCCACATGCGAGAGCGATGCCAGAGAGGCGCCCCAGAGCGCGCGCGAGGCGCGGGCTGCCCGAACGCCCCTTGCCGGCGGAGAGGGCTAGAGCCAAGTTGTCGACGAGGCAAACAACGCGATGATGGTGGGCTCCTGGAGTCCTGGAGGCATGGTGGGCACTGAACCCCAGGGCCTCGGCTTCATACTGCAAGATGTCGCAACCTGAACGCGAGTGCCTGCTCGACTTGATGATCTTCCAATCGTCGAACCCGAAGACAGCCTCGGGAACCTCCAGGAAGCTCTGTCAGGCCTGAGCAGGGCTGCTAGGGCGGACTCGGCAAGCACCAGCATGCGGGCAACGATCGGCGACATCACGTTGCGAGCCGACGGTCTCGAAGGCATGGGACCTCGCGAGCACGCTGGATCCCTGGCGGTATTTCCACATCTCGGCGACGCGGCCGACCTCGGAGACCAAGTCAGGGGGACGTCCTTGATGCGCGCCCCCTTCCCGCACAGCGACGCATCCGAAGCGTAGATCCGTGAAGACCACCTAGACCTGGTAGAGGCACTCCAGAGCGGGATCAGGGCCACCGCGGCCCGCAGCTCCCTGACCACAGACCCCCAGAGAGGCGCCGGCTGAGCTCCGACCACGTTGGTGAACCGGTAGACCGAATTGAAGATGGCCAGGACGTCCCGTCTCAAGATCACCCCCCAAGCACAGTGGCCTACCAGCGCGCTGAGGGCCCCCGCGGAGGCCCACCCACGTCGCAAGAGACCCAGAACGGCTTGGCGAGTTCGGGCGAGACGATCGGGACGAACACGGATGATGCCAGACAGCCCGTCGATCTGCCGCCCCGTGACGACCCCCTTCCAGACGGCCTCCGAGAAGTCCAAGACAGGTAGACCCCTAGAGGTGAGAAGGTCGGCAACGGCACGAGCCCGAGAGGTGGCAATGTCTGGGTTCTTTGAGACGACACAGAAGTTGCCAACATATCCTGCGCATATGGCATCATTGTGATCGACCAACGGACGCGGGCTGCCCCCATCAACAATCATGTCGCTGCTCTCGAAGCCAACGTCGGATAAAGCTATGACTAGGGCGCTCTGACAGTAGTGCAACGCCCAACCCCACCACGAAGTAACAACTGTGACCAGAGGTTGTACGAAATCGTTGATACCTATGGGGGCCCCGCTGATATATTTGAGGCCGACGGTTCTGTTGGGGATCGCAGGCAGCGCGAAAAGCGATTCCATCCTTGCAGGCAAGCGTAAGTGATAGAAGGCGCACTGGGTGTCTCCCTGAGCGAGCACGAAACTGTCATCGCAGTCGACACTGGCCCGCGCGCTGGGCGTGGGGAGCTCGGTGGCTGGGGGCGCCGCGAAACTGCAGTTGGCCAGCCGAGTGTCGAACGCGAGCCTGGGCATGCGAATGGATTTCTCCCCAAAGAATAAGCCGATTGAGTGCGAAGACTGAGGGCTGGCGGCCCGCCGCGCGATCATGTCGCGGGCCTCCAGCTGCTTCAAAAACTGAGCGCAGGACTTTGGCTGGAAGCGCAGCTCGGGGCCTACGCACGGGCGGGCAATGCCCAGCGCGTCCCGCAACTCCGCTGCAACCGACTCGGGATTTAGCATGATCTGCCTCCAACCCTGCAGCACGATGGAATCGGCCTCCGAGACGACGTCGCAGGTGGAGACGGCTTTCGTCGACTGGAACCAGGCCGCGAGCGGCTGGCTGTAGGGCCGCGCCCGACCGCCGCCACCAGCGTAGCCAGGTGCCAGAGTGAGCATCTCTACCAGGGATGCCTCGCAGGCGCTGCTCCTCTCCGAGTAGGCGGCAGGCAGCTCGAACTCGCGGTAGACGCCCGCAAGATGCTCCACCGAGGCTGCCTGCACAGCGGGCGCTGCAACACCGTCCTGGGTCGCGCAGTGCTCGTCCTTGCCGCATTGGAGCCAATTGAGAGCGGACCGCCCCTCGTTGCACCACTCTTCGCCAGCCCGCGCCTTTGGCAGCTCGAAGACGGGCCGCTCGACCAAGGGGCAGTTGGCGGCGCCCATCCACAGGGGGGAAGAGGCAGAGGAAAAACGTCGCGCTGGCGATGGGCACCGCGTCTGGGCGCCTCGAGGCCAGGCGGAGGCGCGAGTGCCTCTGGGCCAAGCTGACCAGGCTCACGATGATCAAACACAAACTCGCGAGGCCCATCCTGGCCAGCGTCCTGCGGGGGCGTCATAGCGCCCGCAAGGCGCGTTCCTCACGAACCTTGCGTTGTTCTTTCGCCACCGCGGCTTCCATCTTCATCTGATCAGCGATGCAATCCATCAGCGCGGGGCTGATGCACAGGTTCCCCTTCGCCTCGCCTGCGCCGAGGAAGTGGCCCACCTCGAACGCGAGGTCGGCTGGGGAGGCCTCCTTCGCCTGAGCCTTCGCCTTGGCCGCGACCTCCTCGACCGCTCCTCAAACGCGCGCTCCTCCGCGAGCGAGGGCTGGCGGGCGAGGTGCTCATGCGAGGCGAGCTCGCAGATCGCCAGCTGGTCGTGGCAGAGGGCGGTCTCCATGACGCGGCAGAGCGTCTCGTGCAGCTTCGCGTTCTCGTCGTGCTCGCTGAGCAGCATCATCGCTAGCCAGCGGTTGTGCCAGGCCATGGCACCGCCTGCCATGCGCTGCGTGAAGCCGAGGACCTAGAGCAGCGTCCTCGGGCCCTTCACGGGCCAGTCGGCGCGCACCGTCTCCGTCTGGAGCTTCACCGCGTCGCTGAAGCTGATGTCGCGAAAGCCGCGGCCGTCGAGGACGAGGGCCATCACGCGGGGGTCGCCACCAGCTGCCGCCGCCACGGGAGGGGCGGCGCCGCCGCCAGCGCCAGAAGGGGGACTGCGACAGCCGCCGCCAGTGCGCCAAGGCCGCCGCCGCCGAGAGGTGCTCCTGCGGCAGGCGGCGCCGCCAGCGCAGGCAGCGGCGCGGGGGCCGCAGCAGCCGGCAGGGCGCCCGCCGCAGGCGGCGCCGCGCCGCCGACTGGGGCCCCCAAGATGGCCCCAAGATGGCCCCAAGAAGCTCCCACGACGCCCAAGATGGCATCCAAGACGGCCCTGGAGC